GCCAGAAAATATGCTATTAAAAAAAAAAAAGGTTTGGTTGTGTTCAAATAAAATTTTATTTACAAAAACAAGCAGTGATAGTTTATTTTCCCTTTCTTTGAACTATTCCAGATCCTTAACACAAACTGTAGAATAAACTTTCACTTATACCAAAACCTACTAGAAATTTATTGGAGTACATGGATTCTTTATGTCATAGTCTGGGTTCTCTGGAGAAGAAATATCAATGAAGTGTGTGTGTGTGTGTATATATATATATATATTTATCAAGAAAGATTTATCTCAAGGCAACAATTTTTGCCGTTGTAGAGGCTGGCAAGATCCAAAAGCGTGGGTCAGGTATCAGGCTGGAAGCTCCTGGCTCACAAACCCCATACTGGTAGGTAATTCCACAGTCAAGAGTTTCTTGATGGTCTTTCCTCTCTTGGCTCATCTCTGATGCCTTCTCAATCTTCCTTAAAATACCTGATCCATCTAAAAACTGTTGCTTTATGTGGAGTAGCATTGTTGCAGAATTCCAATAACTTGGGAAGATGTCCACTTTTGTGTTTTGTTCAAAATCTGCCATTAGTCCTGGCCTAAAAGTAATTCTTTATCCCAATGCACAGAAAGTATTTTTTTCAGAAGGTACCCTCATGAGACTAAAGAAAGTGTATCACTAAGAGAACTTGTCTGCAGTCATCCACTGATCACAAAGATATGTTTAAACACGTTGTGGAATAAAGTTGTGTATGTAAGAACTGGAACTCTAGTGACAGTATTTTCTGATTTATCCTGCATTAAATCTACACCCCACAGGAAACTCCTCTTTCAACTGACTGACTGTTCACATCAGACACAAAAGAGGATTACATAATATCTGCCAAACCACTGAAAGCCATGCCTGTCCAAGTTGACAAATAACCTAAACCATCACAGTATATGTCACTTTTAAGGACTAACAATTTTTACAAAATTAGATCTATGTGCATTTCTATACTTACATAGGTCTCTTCAAATTTCTCTACAGAAAGGTCAAGATTGATTCTTCTATCATATATTTTGTTTTTTCAATGGTAGTTTTCTCTGTAAATTTTATTATCACAGAGTATTTAAAACATGCTGGAAATTTTGAAACATATAAGGAGCCTCATATCCATCACTATCTCTAAGAACTGTTTTTGTTGTTAAATGCTATTAAGTCAGTTCTGACTCATAGTGACCCTGTATAGCGTTTCCAAGGAGCAGCTGGTGATCTGTTGTTTGCAGTCCAGTGCAGATCCTACAGCACCACACCCGGAGTCCCTAAGAACTAAAACAAGGCTAATTTATTTCCATCTACTTCTTCTTTTCCTGTATTTTGTTGAAGTAAATCCTAAGAACCCAAATCTAGTCAATATTTCAGCACTCTATTTAAAAGTTAGTTCTGGAGTGGCGCTGTGGGTTAATACGCTGGATTGCAAAGTTGATTTGAACCATAAGACCCGTGGTTCAAGCTCACCAGCTGCTCTCTGGAAACTCTATATAGGGTTGTCATGGATTGTAACTGACTCGACAGCACTTTAACAACAACACTTTAAAAAGAGATTATTCTTAATCTGGATTGAAAAAAGGCTTACATATTACAAGTGATTAACATCTCTTTTAATTTATAGTTTCTCTCCTAGCATGTCTTCTTTCACAGAAGTATGATATTTAAAATAGGCTAGGTGAAGTCTGTAGTAGTTCTCATTATATTTGCATTGGTTTTCATTTACAGTCCTGTTTATTGCTCACTATTTGAAAAAAACATTTAAGGAAAATACAAGAAACGCTAGTGGCACAGTGGTCTAAGAGCTGGGCTGCGAACCTCAAGGGTGGTAGTTCAAACCCATCAGATGTTCCATGGCAGAAAGATGAAGCTGCCTGCTCCTGTAAAGATTTACAGTCTCAAAAACCTTTCGGAGCCTTTCTACTCTGTCCATTAGGGTTGCTGAGTCAACTGGTTTGATGACAGTGGGTGGGGGCTGAAAATTAGAATAAAAGATTCCTTTTTCTAGAGGGGATTTCATTTGTTTTCAAAGACTTTAAGCGAACTTGACAAACTAATAAGAGTTTGGGTTGCAAGTTACATTTGTTTCTGATCTCTGATCATTAGTACTCTCTCTCCTTTTTCCCCCAAGCACTCATCTACCTTGTTTCTATCCATCTCCTACTTTAGATATTATATAAACATAAATTGAACCATATAATATGGAGCTTCTTTCACTTAAGTACCATGTTTTCAAAGTATATTCATAAAACATGAATCCATATTTCATTACTTTTGGTGGCTAAATCATGCTCCATTATATGGGTAAGCCACATTATGTTGTTGATGAATTTTATGTATAAAGATTTATGTATTTAGATTTCATATATTGAAATCTGCATCTAGGTAGGTACACCTCAACAAAATCTTTAAAACTAGAATTGGGTTTTCGTCAAATACAGTTATATCATGAGGGAAAAAGAGACACATATATGTTCAATTGAAAAGGTTTTATATCCATTACTACCCTTACCATGTTTGTTAATGCTTCTAAGACATTAAACCTGGAGATCTCCAAGGAACCAAGATGCACCAACTAAGAGACAAGGCTATTCCTTTAGAGTGGCAAGCCTTCCTCTAGATCTGGCCCTTTGAATTCAAACTTCTGAAACTATGAGAAAATAAATGTATATGAAAGTCACTCTTTATGATATTCTCTTATAGCAACACTAGCTAAGTCAGACAGAATTTGGTACCAGTGTAGGGTCCTGCTCTAACAAATACCTAATCAAGTGGCTGGAAGAGTTTTAAAGAGTCTTGTTGAATAAGCAATGGACTGCTAACCACAAGGTCGGTGGTTCAAACCCACCAGCCATGCCTTGGAAATAATATACAAGATTGCCATGAGTTTGAAGCAACTCAGTGGCACTTAATAGTAAAAATCAGATTGCCTTTAAGAGACTTCCTATAAACATACTGACAGGAAAGTTAATTATATTTTCCCAAGAACATTTTGAAGCCCTCCTCAGACCTAAGACATGAGCAACAGAATGTTACTAGAAACATGGAAGGAGGTAAATGTGCTTCTTTGGGGCTTTAAAAGAAAATAATGAACATGTGAGTGGATAGAGGAGGAGGGTGATGCAGTTACAAAGAACTTGTCTGAATTATGTTCTCCTATTTTGTGTAAGGAGCTCTGGTAGCGGTTACGAATTGGGCTGCTAATCTCACAGTCAGCAGTTCGAAACTATCAGCCGTTCTGCGGGAGAAAGATGAGGCTTTTTGCTCCGTAAAGATTTACAGCCTCAGAAACCCTATGGGTTGCTATGAGCCAGAAACAACTCCACGGCACGTAACAACAACAATTTGGTGTCAGGTAGAACTTTTAAGTGGTGAACTCAGTATCTGGTTACGGAGATTTCTAAGCACGATGTTAAAGGGGCCATGTGGTTTCTTCCTCCTGCTTACAGTCGAATTTACGTCAGAGGATCAAGAGGGACTTTGAAATGAATGGTGCAAAATGAAAATGGAACCCAAAGATTTGTAATATTCTGTTGTGCAAACTAACAACATATGTCCTAAAATGCTCACTAACATGACCACACAAACATTTGTTGAACAAACTAAACCTGTCACTGATAGATCTAAGTAACTACCCACAGCAAAAATTCCATCATCTTAGACTGAAGAGAACAGAGAGCAAAACAGAAAGAACACTGCCTCTCAGATTTCTATAAGCAGGAAATAGGTCTCCAAGAAAATAAAAGAACCACCCTGGAGCAACTCTTGGGATCAGCAAAACTGCTGGAAGGAGGACCAGAAACAGAGCACGGGAAGAAAGCATTTTATCAGTTTTCTATGAGTGTTTCATGGACGTAAGGGAAGAAAAATGTCTGACAGAAAAGTAACATCTGGGCAAGATTATTATTTTCTCTCAACTGTCGGTACACCTCATATCTCCCCGTTTTCTACCACTCAGCGCAGTAAGTGAAAACTTGGTTGATCTCTCCTTGTAGTTCGAATTTATCAGTTGCTCCACAGGAGAAAAAGAAGGCTTTCTGTTCCCATAAAGATTTACAGCCTCAGAAACCCTATATCTAGAGTCTCTATGAATCAGAACTGACTCAGTGGCACACCACCACTGCCACCATAAATTTGCAAAAAAATTTTAACCTTCAAATTCAGCAACTTTATAAAAAAGATACATCTAGATTTGTTATCTTTTTGGCCTTAGAACTCCCACAGAAAACCATCCTATTTTGGTCTTCTCCCTTAAGCTCTGAAGACAAGTAAGCCCTGTCCATTTCCTGAGCTAGCACATTAGTTCTTGGCAGGAACAACAAGAAATGAATGAAGCCTTGTACCTGTCATCTCCCTGGAGATCTAAGGAGAAGCTGTAAGCAGAGATGTATCCACTTGTATACTGAATTATTCCAGAAGAAAATGGAAGGGAGAAGAAAATAGGAATACGTATTCAAACCACAATCTATCTAGTATTTCCTAGCAATCCAAAACCAGTATCTCCCAACCAACTCTTACATGAAGACATTCTGAGCTTTCACAACTTTTGTCTAAAGAAAACATACAGAATTCAAATTTCAATCCTATGAAGAGGAAAGTAAAATATTTTATTTTAGGAAAAATCACTACCATGTAGGTAAATTAAATAAAATTTGCAACAACACAATAGAGAATTATTTGGCCACAAAGAGAAATGAAGTAACTGGGAGAAAGGAGAAGTGGGAAGTTCTTCCTTTAGTCTTTGCTTAAGGGTGATGAAAAACTTTTGGGAAACAGATGGTGGTGATGGATGCACAATATAGTGAGTATCACGAATGTCACTGAACTTATATTTAAAAATGGATGAAATAGCAAAGCTTCATTAATGTATATTTCACTAGAGTAAAAAATAAATAAGGAAGGAAAGAAATCTGCAACAAAACCTCCAGAGTTTTTTAATGAACTATACCGACGTTAAGCATCAAACTTCCAGGACATTCTGCTACTATACCTGATCATGTATGTCAACCATTACTGTATTCTGCTGTGGTGGATGAGCAGCAGGATGTAACAGACGAGGGGATACATTCGGAGGGTGGAAGGCTCGTGGTTCCTCTATTGCTTGCTGCTGTGCATATGGGAGATGATGATAGTTTTCATCCTGACTAATGGAATTATGCCGAGACAGACGATCCCTTCTTCCTCTCTGGCGTCGGACAGGAGGACTGCAATATAGTAAATGTCAAAGAGAAGGTTGAGATAATGCTTACTGTTATGATCCATCAGGATTCTGGATAATCTCTCTTTGCTATTCTTATATGCTAATGTAAACTTGAGTGCTATGGTTCATCACCAGCTCTAGAAGTTTACAAATTTAAACACAGGGTATATGTTTAAAAACAACTAAAAATTGGTATTCAGCACTAAGAGGATTTAGAATTCAATAGCTAGCCATTGTCATGGGAGAGGGGGAGATGTGTGTTTCATTTAAATCACAAAATTGCCCATTTTTTAAGTAAAAAAATAAAACACCAGAAATTTCTTACGGTTCAACGTAATTATCTTGTTACCCATATTTTAATAAATATTATAGAATAAAACCTAATATGCAGCGTTCTTGTCAGTATTCATCATACACTTTTATGGGCTCCTTTTGTCTGTTCACCTATTTGGCTGAAAACATAAGAAGATACAGTAACTAGATGTCCAAAATGAGAACATAAAATACAGAAAATAACTGGAAAACGTACACCAAATAACTCATTCATAACTGCAAATATAGAAATAAGTAAATGCCAAAAATGGAATTGATTTGAGATGGTGTCAACATAAATGTTTTGGGAATCTAGAATTTTCCATTAAGTTCTGGTTGCTAAAGCAAACCACTTTTGTTCCCCATGTACTAACCATCTTCTTAGTGTAACAAAAATGTTCAGAAAACTGCAAATGTACTTTATTTTCTACTTCTTTAGCTTCCACAATTCATCTCAATTGCTTTTCTCAACAGCTCAATACAAATGAAATTCTAAATATAACCAAATATCAAACCAAACCCACTACCATCAAGTTGATTCTGACTCATAGTCCTAACAACGTTACTAAGACTACAAATATATTGTAAACTTTATTGTTAACTGGGAGTCCTGGTGTAGGATAAGCAATGGAGTGCTGACTACCAGGGTGGCAATTCAAACTCACCAGCAACTCCTTGGAAACCCTATACAGGGGGCTCTACGAGTTAGAACTGCCACGACAGCACTGCCACCACCACTGTGAACTGATTAGATGTTACGCAACAGATCAGTTTTCCATTCAAACGATTCCTACACATTTTGTTTTGTGGCACTGATTACAATCCACACAATGTAACAACACTTATCCTACCATTTCCCTGTGTTTTCCCATTTCCATTCCGCCTCCTTTTCTAACCTTTCTGAACTTTGTCCTTAGGTAACAAGGCTATATAATCTTTTAGGAAGCATACGTCTTTCCACAGAGTGAGTGGTGGGTTCGAATCGCCAACCTTTTAGTTAAAACCCAATTATTTTAACTACTGGGCCACTAGGGCTCTTCTAAAAAGTAATGTTAAGTGTCATCGTACCATTCCAACACAGGTCACTACCCCTGTGTACAGTTTTGCAAGGCTACAAATCTTTGTGAGAGCAAAAAGCCTCATCTTTCTCCCATGGAACAGCTGGTGAGCTCACACCACTGACCTTTCTGGTTCACAGTCCACTGTTTATGCCCCATAGCCACCACAATACAAAAAATACTTACTAACAATAAAACTGACAACAACAACAAAAGGTGGTAGAAAGATATAGGCTCTGTTAAAATCGGGCAATCTTCCTTCCAGGTAGGGTTTCCCAGTAGCATAGCAACTTTTTACTGCTAGCTCTCTAACTGGGAAGGCTAATTTCTCAACAGTACGCTTACTACAGTCCCCCCATACTAATTGCTTTCAATCATCTATATTTTCAATGTTTATGTATTTTCCCTTCAAAATCTATGTAGCGTGCTTCTGCCACGTATGCACACAGATACTCAGCCCAAGCAGAGGCCCTGAACTTTTAATATCTGTTTCCTTTTTGTTCTGTTTTTTGTTTTTTTTAATCATAGGAAAGAGTAGGAGAGGGCTGAAGGGAGAGAAAGAGAGCCAAAAGTTGGATTGGAACCTGAGGTTTAGCATAACAACCAACACTGGCAACTTGGAATCTCTCGGGCAGCTTTGAAGACAGGAACTTAGGACATTAAAGCCATATTCATATTAAGCTACAGATTTTTTTTTTTTCCTTCTTTTTCTTCTCACCCTCCTCTCCCTTTTCTGTGATTAGAGACTTCAGTATTCATTCTTGTTTTTGTTGGTGCTTTTTTTTCCCCTCTCATTCCCCCACCCCCACCCCACTGGTGTTGTTTTGATGTTATATGCCCCCCCACTTCTGCTTTTGGAGAACTCTTTGTCTTCCTATATTACACAAGAAAAGTCAGCAACTGCTGCCATATAGGCAAGCTACAATCACACTCTATACAACACCAAAACCCAGGCAAGATCCAATATCAGCTGCCATATACCAGGGAAACAGACAACACTCATGAAAGTTACTCTGAGTTAAGCAATAAGAAGAGTGAAAAGGGAAGTCCACATCCTGATCACATCTTCCTGGAAGCAATCAGAAAGCATACAAATTACCAAAACACATACTCAATTACGTATTAAAGCCACAGATAAACATTAAGCATGTCCAATAAGCAAAAGCAGATAACCATATCAGCACATGTCCAGAAAAAGATAAAATGTCTGAGACAAATGACCTAGAAGTAGACCTGGACTCCATTCTGCAAGGAGGGCAGGCCCTGCAAATGCCTGAGAAAGAATTCAGAAAAATTATTATAAAATGTTTTAAAACACTTTACAATGGAGTTGAGAAAAATAAGGAGGAAGTCAGGAAAGTGCTACAGGAACAATCAAATAAGATAGATACAGCATCGGAAACAATTCAAAACCTACAGAAAGAGGTCCAAATGATCAATAAAAAAATAACAGAATTAGAGAATACTCTGAAAGGGCAGAGGAGTAGAACAGATGAGATGGAAGGCAGAACCAGTGATCTGGAAGACAAATCTCTCAATACCACAAAGATAGAAGAACAAACACAACAAAGGATAAAAAATTTGGAGGAAGATCTAAGATTCATGCTGGACAACATGAAGAGGAATAACTTAAGAATTATCGGCATTCCAAAACAAGAAGAATCACACAAGTCCACAGAAGAAATAGTTGAAGAACTTCTGGAAGAAAATTTCTCTAACATCCTGAAAAACGAAAAGATAAACATTTAAGAAGCTCAACAAACTTCACGAAGGGTAGACCCCAAAAGAAAATCACCAAGACATATCATAGTCAAGCTCTCCAAACTCAAAGATAAGGAGACACTTCTGAAAGCAGCCAG